AGGCAGAGAGGCAGAGAGGCAGAGAGGCAGAGAGGCAGAGAGGCAGAGGCAAAGGCAGAGAGGCAGAGAGGCAGAGAGGCAGAGAGGCAGAGAGGCAGAGGCAAAGGCAGAGAGGCAGAGAGGCAGAGAGGCAGAGAGGCAGAGGCAGGAGGATCTCCATGAGTTTGAGGCCAGTCTGGTCTACAGAGTGGATTCCAGGCCAGCCAGGACTGGAGTCCAAAGATACTGTCTCAGCCACAGAACTCAACTGACAAGTTCAGCTATGGAGGTCACTGTAGAGACACGGTTTTACGAAAATCTCTCTTACAGTCTAAGAAACTGGAACTTTCGCTGGACCTCACAGCCAAGTTAATATAAGACAACATAAGAGATCTGATATCCTGCTAATTATACCCAAGCCTGTTTATTCAACCCATCTTTAAGAAAACAACCAACCTTACTTGTCTTGGATTTTCCCTGTGTAATCAGCTTTTACAGCCTAAGCTAATGCATAGGTATAATCTTGTTACTTTTCCACGCTTCTGACCCAGAGGGCAATACATGTTTGCATGTGCATGTGTGCGTGTTGTGCTGGTAATCATTTGCTAAAAACAGCAAACAGGTTGAAAAATGACCTTGAACAACAAATACCTGCCATAAATGTTGGAATCAACACTTGATAGTGTATATTTATAGTTCCGTTTGCTTTGCTGAGTGGTTTGGGGCCAGTAGGGGTAAGCTGAAGTAAATAATCCAAGCGCTTGTGAAATTCTGTTAAAGATTTCCATAAATTACCCCTCATTCCTTCCTCATGTGACCTCTCTTGGGCTATCTGATAAATATAGATTCAAGTTCTTTGTTAGGGACAGATACAAACAGAAATAGGAACATAGTCAAAATCAAAGATCTCAGGCAGGCATAGGCAGACACACAACAGACATAGGAATGCAAACTTTAGTTCGTTCTTGGTTGAATTAATTCAAGGGCAAGTTAAGCTTTCTTTAATGTGACACCGATGTACTTTAATGCCTCCGAGGCTGTCTTTAATGTGTTTAAATTAATTCAGTTCACCACAGTGACACTGTGCTGCTCACAGGGGCAGGATGACATGTTTGCTTACCCAAGTGCCCATATCCCACCACATGCTTGGCACGAGGGCCCAGGCGGGTGCGGAGGTCAATCACAAGGTCATAGAGCCGCTCCACAGGGAGGGATAGGTCATACTTGAACACGTAGCCATCACGACTGAGCGCCTCTGTGATCCTCTCCCGCAAGGCCCACAGCATCTATGATAGTGAGGACACACAGTCAGAGCATACCACAACACGGTCCTGGGCAGGGGTCCCTGAAATACTGCTGCCTTAATCCAGGTCTCCACAGAAGTAGGCAGAAGGTCTGGAAGTACAAAGGCCAACTGGGCTGTAGAAGGGACCAGCTCTGTGACAGTGTTGTGACAGAGACTTTGAAAAGATAGACTACTACCAGACGGTGGTGGCTGGTGGTAATGTACACCTTTAATCTCAGCACTCGGAGGCAGAGGCAGACAGATCTCTCTGAGTTCAAGGCCAGCTTGGTTTACAGAGGGAGTTCCAGGACAGCCAGAAGCCCTATCTCAAAAAATGAGCAAATAGGATAACATTTTCTATCACAGGTAGAGTCTATATTTAACTGTATGCACACATATATACATGTGGCATGAAAGCAGAAGAGGACCTATCTGGGGCAAGGAAGAGACCCATGGGAAAAAGGAAGGAAGGAAGAAAGGAAGGAAGGACTGAAGGTGGTAGTGGGGAGGCAGCTATAAGTAAGATACAATACTTCTGTCTAACAGTGTCACAGTGAGGAACAACAGGATCTTTCATAAAAGCAAACTCGGGCTAGAGAGACGATTCTGAGGTTATGAGCAACTGCTGTTCTCGCAGAGGATCAAGGCTCTGTCCAACCATACTGTGGCTAACAGTCTTACAGGTCCCAGGGGATCCAGTATCTTCTTTTGTTTGAGCTCTACAGACACACGGTGTGAAGTAGTGCATATATCTACAATGTATATGTATGTGTGCATGCAGGCAAATCTCACATATGTGAAATAAAAATGAATAAATCTTAAAAAAAAAAACCAGCAAGGGCAGATCGTGAATAATCTTAGTGCTCCCAGATTCTTGTTTGTTCCTAATGCTATGTGAGCTAATGCCCACTTGCTGCCTCAACGATTTGAACTCATTTGCATAAACAGATGCTTCATTTGCATAGATAGATGCTTAGCAGGCAAGAGGTTCGGACCTTCTGAGGCATTTGCTTCCCTGTGAGCCAGACATGCTCCTGTAAATAATCCTAATGAGTCATCATGCCAGGACAGACTTGACTTTTTCTTTAGTCTGTCTTTATCCTCCTTGTCTGGAGTACATACATGTGTCTTTATATCTTCCTGGGAAAGCCATGTACAGCAGTCTCCTCAAACGTATGACACTCAAGATCTCTTTAGATCCACACAAGGCACAGCTTCCTAGGGCATGTCAGAAAACCCGTGGCTGGGCCAGCTCAGTCGTGGCTGGGCCAGCTCAGTGGATTAAAGCATTTTGCTGTGGCAAATCTGATAACCTTACTCAATCCCCAGAGTGAGAGAAGAGAACCAACTCCCAAAGGCTGTCCTGACCTCAGCATATTTGCTGCAGCATAAACCCTCAACACCCCACACACATGCGCATACACGCACACGTGCATGCACTCTCTCACACACACATATGCATTCTCTCTCTCTTTCTCTCTCTCTCTCTCTCTCTCTCTCTCTCTCTCTCACACACACACACACACACACACACACACACACACAAGTTTAAAAAGAAAAAGAAAACTCAGGGCTTCTGGAGGAAAAAAACCAAAGGACCAGAAGGCAGGACTGCCCAGTATTCCCAGGACCCCATTTAACCTGAGAAGTAAGCAGAAACATCTTCAAAACCATCCTTGCACCAGACAAAGATTCAGGGAGCAGGCCATGTCATCCCACTGAACTCCAGCTCCAGAAAAGGGTGTTTCCAACTCCAAGTCCAGCACCAAGTATAGTGTGGGATGGTGGGACACTCCAGCCTCCTCCACACCTTCTCTAGGAAACCCCGGAGGGACCCAGCAGAGCGTGTGGGGAACTTGAGGACTCACACTGGGCACCTCTGCCATCAGGAGTGGATGCAGCGTCACCACCAACCATAAAAAGGAGTACTGTTTTCACCACCGCAAGCTCCAAACTCGATCTGCGGCATAAAGGCATCCTCGTGGAATCAACAGGCCACAAGGGCCGCCACACTCCCCTCAACACCTTCAGTATGAAGTAATGGCTGCAATTAGTTACAGGTAACACTTGAGCGGGCACGGGCTGCAGGGCTGGTGGAGCTCAGTTGGTAGAGCTCTCACCTAGCAACATGACGCCTTAGGATCACCAGCACCACATGAACCAGGCATGTGAGCACATCTAAGCACAAATGGAGTAGAGGATGGAGACCAGAAGTTCAAGGACATCTTGAACTATACAGTAAGTTCAAGGCTAGCTGAGGCTATATAAGAACCTATCTCTGAAAGAAAAAAAAATCTGGCCAGGCTGGGAGTCTGGGGGTTAGGGAGGGGTACACCTTTAATCCCAGCACTCAGGAGGCAGAGGTAGGTGGATCTCCAAGTTTGAGCCAGCCTAGTCTATATCGTGAGTTTCAGTAGAGCCAGGGCTACACAGAGAAACCTTGTCTCAAAAACAAACAAAAACAAGAACAACAAAGCCTAAAGGCCAACAAACTAACAAAACAACCCTAACTATAAAGAAAACAATTTAATAAACTGAATAGAATACATAACAGGTTGACTCCAGAGGTCACAACTCGAGCAATCCACGTTTTCACACGCCTTTTTCCTCTCCAAGGCCCAATCCTGGCACTCCCTGCAGCCCCTCTGCCCCCTGCTGGCAGCTCTTCATACTGCAGACAGCAGGACCAGGGCCAGACACCAAGAAAATAAAACTCCCAGTTTAGGTAAACAGCAGCTACCACACAGAAATGCCTCCTGTTCCTGTGTCCCCCAGGAGCCCAGATGGCTTCCCTGCAACAGTCAAAGCTGTTCCTCAGACACTCTCTTCCCCTGGACTTGTTAGGCCTTCAGGCTTGTCTTCCATGTGCTTACAGTTTTTCCTGCCTCTCCACACACGTCTGTGGAGAGCTGTAGCCAACTTATAGCCAGCACATAGTCAGCCATGTAGATCTATTCACCATGTAGCCTGGGGGTGGGGAGAGTTGTGTGGGGGTAACTTTTTACTGTTAGTGAAAATGATCTAGATACCAAGAATACAATTTTTACTCCAAAGAGGTTTTCTATCTATACTACGGAACCTGTGGTATCTTGGCCACACACCCCATCGCTGCAGGACAGATTAGGCCCTAGCTATGTGAACAGGAGGGAAGGAAGAGAAAGCAGGGTTACAGCACCTGGACTTTCCTCTGGTCGGTGGCCATAGTGCCATCTGTCACCAGGCCAGAGTTCAGCACCTGCTCCAGGACGTTGGTCAGCTTCTCAGCATCGTGTCCTGCACTGGAGCCTGAGGTCTCAACCAGGACATAGAACGGACTCTCTGAAAGGGAGCAGGGGATGAAGTGTGAGTCCCAGTCCCACCTGCCAGTATCCAGAGTTAGAGCCACTTTCCTCCCAGTCACGAAGCCAAGACAGCTCTTCTCAAGTGCTTGAGGTGACCTACAAAACAGGAACTATTCAGGCATGCTAAAATCCACATGGGTTAAATGTAAGGTTTCTGCTGACAGAGAAATAGACCAAAGGTGAACCTCTGCAGGAAGCCCCACCCTGCTCACTTAGCCTTAAGCCTGGGTCCAGTTCCACACCTCCCAACAGCCTGATGCAGAAGGGCTGCCACAGCAAGGCAAGAGCGGGCTTGTCTCTTCTTACAGACTCCAGAACCCCAGGGAAAGGCTACTTGTTGGTAGATGATCACCTCAGACATGGCTACGACATGCTAATGGCTACAATTTCTATCATAAGAACTTACTGTTTCAACTTTCAAAAAGTTAAAGGTGTATTACTAACTTACCAAGGGGCACTGTCCCATCCCTTAACACAACATTAAGGCTTCTTCCAGAACAATGGTACAAGTTCATCCTACTACAGACTGAAATCAAGTGTTAAAGACAGCAACGCTTTCCTATACACAATGACCCATAGCCACACAGTGCTCTTTGCCCACCCATCCTCCTGAGACGTTCAGTGTTGAAGCAGCAGGACAGCGTAGCCAAGCTGCACAGGGGTAGGTACCTTGTACTGGGTTGGTCAGGTGGAGGTGCTGTCCAACCAGCTGCATGCATTCAGTATCCATAAACTCAAACGCAGACAGGATCTCGCCCAGCATCCCCTTGCAGGTGCAGAAGGTCTGCAGAACCTCAGTAAACCCAGGGCAGCCTACGATGATGTGACACAGGGCATCAGGCACGACAGAGTGGAGAACAGTAGAACCCAGGGCTTCACCCACCGCCTGGCTAGTTCTCCCCTTCTCAGCAGCAACATCAACCCAACTCACACCGACAAGTAGAGTAACTACTGATGGCTTGGTGCCCTAGAAAACACTCCACAGATCAGCCCATGAGTATATTTCAAGGTCTCTAGATCTGAAACTATGCCTAAGAGCTGTCACAGGGCACTCAGAGCAGCCAAAGGAATCGGGGACAGGGGGCAGACCAAGAGCTGCCAGAAGTGGGCCATTCCTCTCTCCCATCTGCAGTAAGATCTAACTTGATCTCAGAAATTCATCAAACACTCATCTATGGACACATGAGATCCCTGCAGTGCTACGGGGCTCAGGAGCCACAGCACAGCCCCAGGGTAGCTGCCCCTCAAGTATGGACACAGAAAGAAACACAGGGAATGTATCCACAGGTAGGTGATCCAGAAACCCTGTGGTAGGAGATGACATTCCTGGACTTTAGAAGATCCAGGACTACCTAGCAATAGCAACACAACCCCTCCCAGAGGAAACCACCCTTACCCTAGGATTCTAGGAACCAAACAAATAATTCAAAACAAGGCCCTATATACAACCCAAAGTAGCTCAGAACACTCAGACATGACACTATGAGAAACTGGGTCCTCTGTTACAAGAAATGCTCTTGGTAGCATTTATAGTCAAGAGACTGAGAAATGTCTGATGCAGACAGATAAGAGTTGGCCCATAAACAATGTTGTGGCAGAGACTTTTAAGACAAAGTACCTGGGGCTGGAGAAATGGATGTCTTTTTAATGTGCTGGGTGTCTAAGCATAAGGACCTGAGTCTGATCCTCAGCACCCACTTGAAAAGCCAAGCACGGGAGCTGGAGAGATGGTTCAGAGGTTATGCACACTGGCTGCTCTTCCAAAGGATCTGGGTTCCATTCTCAGTACCCACATGGTGGCTCACAACCACCTGTAACCACAGTTCCAGGACTCCTTCTAGGCTCCATAGGTACTGCATACAAGTGGTACACAGACATACATATGGGCCTAACGACATACACACAGGTAAAACTACATACAAAGAAAAGAAGAAGAAGAAGAGGAGGAGGAGGAGGAGGAGGAGGAGGAAGAGGAGGAGGAAGAAGAGGAGGAAGAGGAGGAAGAGGAAGAAGAGAAGGAGGGAGAAGGAGGAAAAGGAGGAAGAGGAGGAGGAGGAGGAATAAGAAGAGGAGGAAGAAGAAGAGGAGGAAGAGAAGGAGGAGAAAGAGGAGGGGGAAGAAGAAGAGGAGGAGGAGGAGGAAGAAGAGGAGGAAGAGGAGGAAGACAAAGAAGAAGAAGAGAAGAAAGTAAAGAATGTAAAAGAAAAGTCAGCATGGTAGTGCATATCTGGAATTCCTGCCTAGGAAATGTAGACACGTGGATTCCTGGGGCTCACTGGCCGCCTAGCTTAATCTAATCAATGACTACAGGATAATAAAAAGCCCTGTCTCAAACAAAAAGGTGGGACCATACCCAAGGTTGGCCTCTGACTGTCACAAAAAACACACAAATGTGTACCAATATATCCACACAAATTAAAGCAAATAAAAAGACTAAAGGAACACAATAGGAACCAGTAACTGGGAAGAGACTGCAAGACCTCCAGCCGTCTCTGCTGGGATTTGGTGAGTCAAGAATGCCTGGCTCCCTCCAGAACTCACTCAGTTTAACTGAATGAGTCAGCTTCAGGCAGAAGAGCAGATAGCAATCCAAAAGAAGGTAAAAGAGAAAAACATGAACCACAGGCAGATAAGGCAGGCCATAGACAGAAGCTGGCTTCACAGCTCCTGCATAGAAAAGGAAGACTGAATGGTGTGAGGGCCCTATGTATGCAGAAGCAACAGCCAACTGTGGAGCTAGAGAGGGAGAGGGATATGGAGGGAGAGAGAGAGAGAGAGAGAGAGGGAGAGGGAGAGAGAGAGACCCAGTGCGCCAGAGCAATTACCACTATGCCTCTGCCTCTCTCAGGGTCACACAACATACTTTTTGGTGGAACAGAGAAGAAAAATCTCAATTTTGTGAGAATGAAGTGTGTTCTGACCAGTAACAATCGTCACTTCTGGTTCAGGCTACACTCGGAAGGCCAGGACCCAGATCCTCCAGACGGCCTCCGGACGGCCTCCGGACGGGAAGCAGAGAGGCAAGGGGCAATGGGCTCCTCTCATTCCACCTTCACACCTACATGTCCAGAGCAGATGCTCACTCTGCTAGCTGGCTCAGAAGCAAGTTGAGGGACCTACCAAGGAAAGCCACATTCACAGCCTTGGGCCTGGGTGGGCACACAATGGACACAGCAGTGATGACTCCCAGGGTGCCCTCTGACCCAATGAACATCTGCTTCAGGTCATAACCTGTGTTGTCCTTCCTCAGAGAGGTCAGGCAGTTCAGGATGGTCCCATCAGCGAGTACCTGGCAAGAGGAAAAAGACAGGCCTTCCTGCATCGACCACCCTTCCCTTCTCTGGATATGCTGACCCAACTCCAAATACCCACCCCCTAAAAGTAGCCAGGCATAAAGCCTCCCCCATCCTGCCCATTCCAGCCCCATTTGATTCAGGATGAAGCCTGGGAATGAATGGAACCTGGAGTGGATTGACACTCAGACTGAAGATAACCTTTCTCCCCAGCTAGAACAAGGTTCCCTCCGACTGAATCTCACGCCAAGAAGTTCATTGTCTGGCTGCTGGCGGAAAACCCACTCAAGACAGAGAGTACACCTGCCAGGGAGCGGGTTCAAGTGAGGAGCACAGCTAGGAAGAGCAGGGAGCACAGACTGGAAGAGCCAGAAGCATGGCTGCAAAGGGCAGGGAACGGATTTGGGAGAAACAAGGAACCTGTAGAGCTGGGAGTAGCCAACACACAGCTTAGGGGCAGGGAACACATCTAAGAGGCTGGGAGCCCACGAAAGGGGATCAAGGAGCACAACTGGAGATGGGGGAGCACATTTGGGAGGACTGAACAGCAGAAAACAATCCTGCCTTCGGGTTCTCCCATATCTGAGTCCCTCAGTCATAAAGGCATTGCTGGTTCCCATATTGCAATTCTTTCTACCTGAGGCTTAGTGGCTAACACTTTAAGTCAGAGGTGTACTGAATTACCATGACTGTAAATATAATAATAATAATAATAATAATAATAATAATAATAATAAAATAACCAGCCAGAAAACAGAATCACTAGGACACTGGGACTTGCTGGATAAGGCATGGTTTACACTTGCCCTGGTTACCTGGCAAATAAGACAGGGGCTCTGCCCTTAGAACCCAGCAATAGATGTAACAAAGCGAGTTAACCTTCACCATCAACTTTACCAATAGAAAAACAGGAGCCAGGGAGATGGCTCCCCAGGGAGATGGCTCAGTGGGTAAAAAATGCTGTACAAGCAGAGGACTTGAGTCCTGATTTCTAGCACCCACATAAAAAGCCCAGGCTAGAGCTCGTGAGATGGCTCAGCAGGTAAGGGCATCTGCCACTAAGCCTGCAAACCAGTTCAATCCCTATAATCCACATGTCAGAACTAGAGAACCAGTGTCCACAATCTGTCCTTGACCTTCACATATGTGCCATGTTATATACACACTCATGAAATAAATATGTGTGACACATGCCTTTAATCCCAGCACTCAGGAGACTGAAGCAGGAGGGTCTCTACTGGGAACTGATTCTAATGCTTTGTCTTATTTGGGCTCCCAAAAGCCACACTTTCAGACCTGAGGGTCCCTGCTCCCAGCTGGCTTCCTTTGGTAACAGAATTGCCATACAGCCAATGGCTGGGCAGGGAGACAGGGCGGGACTGTTAGACTGTGCAAGCAAGGAATTGAGAAAGAGGAAAGAGGGGGACAATCACCATGATCGAGAAGCAGAAAGATGAAACCTAAAGGCCTGCCGGCAGGTAAGAATCCAAGAAAGTGGCCCTAAGGGCCACTTCCCCAATTGGGTCTGGGGTAGCAGAGACGAAATATAGATTTTGAAAGATGTTAACTCAGGAATACCAGAGGGGCGTGTTTGCTAGCCTTGAGGGAAGTTTAGACGTGCCCAACCATTTAGCTAGTCAAGGCATATCAAAATTAGCTGGTGTGCGCACGTTTGTGTTTCTGTGTGAATGTTTGTGTGTGTGTGTGTGTGTGTGTGCGTGTGTGTGTGTGTAGTGTACTCAACCTGCTGGGAATGCTCTCAACCTGCTGAGAGCCAAAGCAGTTGGCTAATTCACCACTACAGATCTCTGTGAGTTTGAGGTCAGCCTGATCTACACAAAGAGCTCTAGACAGCCAGGGTGACACAGTGAAACCCTGACTCAATAACTAAACAAATAACAAATATCGTTGTGTGTACCTGACATATCTACTTGTGCCTATAATCCCAGCCTTGGGAGGCAGAGAAAGGAGGATCACTGGCCAACCAGTCTAGCCAATCAGTGAGCTCCAAGTTCAATAAGAGACTTTGTCTCAGAAAACAAGGTAAAGAATGATAGATAAAAGACACTCAGCATCATGGGGGGGGGGGGGACCAGGGGGAGAAAAAGAGGGAGAGGAAGGAGGGTAAGGAAGTGGTTGGAGAGAGGACCAAGGAAGCCCTAGGCCTGTGGTGTCTATGTAGGTGTTTCCAGAAATATTTAACTGAGATAGAAAAACTCACCTTGAATGTGGACAGCAATAACCCCCAGCTTGACTAAACAGCATGAGTCAGAATTGATCTCTTTCTGCTTTCTGAAACAATGTAACCAGCTTCCTCACACTCTAGCCAGCATCCTTCCCCAGCCAAGAGAGACTGTATCCTCTCAAAATGAGTCAAAGTAAACCCTTCTTCCCTCTAGTTACTTCTGTCAGTTATTTTATTATCACATCAATGAGAAAAAGGGTTCAGGGAAGGAGACTCAAGGGTCATGGAGTGAGCTGGCAGGGGTGTAACTCCATACCAAGTTGGCCTTAGCAAACCTTTGTCATTCTCCAATTTCTGAAAGTTGGGTACAAATGGAGTGTCACCGCCTGAGAAAAGTGCCCCCTGGTGGCTCCTATGTGAACTCAAAACGTCTCTGAAGCTTCTAGAGCCAGAAACCATTACAATGGGGTCCCTAACCTGGAATGGCTATACACACAATATAAGCTCACATTCTATACCACTGCCAAGACAACAGCCTCAGAAGGAAGCTAGGACATCCCCAGGGCAGGCTTTGCACCCCTTTAGAATCTGGCTCACCACTTCCAGGCCCAGGACAGTCCCTCGAAGAGAGCCATACCGCAGGAACCGCAGGCCACCAGCATTTGTTGCCACATTGCCCCCGATGTGGCAGCTGCCCTTTGCTCCCAAGTCCAGCGGCATGATGAAGTCCCGCTCCTGCACATACCTGCTCAGCTCCTCCAGCACACAGCCTGCCTGGCAAACCAGAATTCCTACAAAGAGCAACTGAGTCACCAACAACCTCTGGCTTTCTAGGAGTATGAAAACTCACTGCTGAGAAACCCCAGACTCCCCTGGAGGTAAGAATCTCCCAGAAGGAACGTTCTCCTCAGAGACCCTCTCTTCCTTCTAGACAAAATAAAAACACTTAGTCCTTTGTAATTATAAAATAAAACAAGAAAAACAAGAAGGGCAAAAATGGAGAAGAAAAGCTTCCTGTATAGTTAAGAGGAGAGAGTACTAGAAAGGTCTGTTGGGAAGCAGTGCCTTGGGCTCCTGCTGGGCTCCTGAGTTACAATGTTTAGATACTTTCTGGTGGTGAGAAGGTTGTTGACAACTGCAAACAGCAGTCCCCTCAGCTATCTAGCCTCAGTACTGAAGAAAAGCTATGAAACCCCTTCACAGGTATCACTGTATGGCCATACACGTCCAGGAAGAGCTGCCATGACAAGGACTGGATGCAAATGAGACTTGTGTGATACGCCCACTGTGTGAGCCACCTAATGACTTACAGCACACCGAAGATGTCCTTGACACAGCTGCTAGTTCTGTCCCTGACAGGAGCTATTTAGAAAGGCTATGGCTATCAGGTGACCTTCCTGGAAGTGGCCTACCCTTTTGCATGGCCTAAGATGGGTGAGCTCTGAGAGGCAAGGTCCCAAGAGAATTCATCTCAGGTTGCTTCTTGAAGCTGATATGCATTTCCTGTCACTCTAACAGAGACTAAGGATTCCTGGATGATCCTATTGAGCAGACTTCCTGCAGATCAATGTAAAAATGAACTTTCATGAATTAATACTGTTTATATGAATTAACTATGGACTGAAGGGATGGCTCAGTGGTTAATAGTAACGATTGTTCTTCCAGAGGTCCAGAGTTCAATTCCCAGAAACCACATGGTGGCTCACGACCATCTATAATGGATTCCAATGCTTTCTCCTGGTGTCTGATTACAGCTACAGTGTACTCATATAAATAAAATAAATTGAAAAAAAAACACCAATGCACATAAAATAAAAATAAATAAATTAAAAAAAACAAAAATGAATTAATTATTTTATAGAATTCCTGATTTGATTCAAATAATCTTAGGAAGAAAGTTTTAAGAGATGGTTTTAGTTGTTTGCTAGAGAGATATAATAAAATTAGAAACAAGAATAGAATGTGCCCACTCTTCATAATAGTAAGTAAAGGCTGCATAGTAAGGAGTACAATGAGCTCTCATAATTACACTAAAAGGAAAAACAGGCTTGGAACAGATTTGTGATCAAGGAAAAATATTCATCCTAGGTCAAGTCCAAGGATGTCCACTATGATAAGGCAAGACCATGTGAAACTGTTGCTTTGAACTTATAATGAGCTTACAGGATGAAACATTGCCTTGAACTTAATATCAACATCCTTCTGTAACTCCCCTTTGGTGTAATATTTTATCTGTGAGGTAATTTTTTTAAATAATTTTGTCAAAGAAGGTATAAAAAGGCCATAGAAAAGAAATAAAGTTGGTAGCTTGGGGAACTCTGCCCCATCCATCCATCCATCATCCATCCATCATCCATCATCCATCCATCCATCATCTATCCATCCATCATCCATCATCCATCCATC